CCGCCGCCGACCCCCCCCCCCGGTCCACCAAACTCGCCCGGCGCCTACGCGACCTCTTCGGGCCGGGATAGAGGGGAGGCGGATCGCCGTTAGGGGCGCAGGGCGCCCCTCCCCCGCCCCCGCGAGACAGACTCTAAGCAAAACGATTGCCGCGACGGCCGCGCGGGCCGCACGCGAGAACAGCTGGAGTACCGGATGGCGCTACTGCAGCTCGCAGGATAGTGGTCCTTGGCAGGGTGACCGGCGGTCTCGGTCTCTGACTCGCTAGGAACGGAGTACCGGGGACGAGGAGCTCCACTCGAAGTTGCGATGACACTTGACTGAAGACTGACGTGTAGTGTAAGAACTGACACTGACTTTTTACATGACTAATGACATGCCGTCTTGATCTGACTGCTGGTTTTATTAGCAGGGTGTTCCAATTGGTGGGGGTTTCCTAGTGCCCAGGTGAGGGTGGCGTTTCTGAGTCGTGCTGATGCGTTGCGTAGTCATCAGATTGTTCGCCCTGGGTCGGTCGATGACTTTTGGAGCCGTTTGGCCGATGAATTTGTTGGATCCTTTCACAAGAGTTTCTTAATCGCGTTTCCGTATTCGGATTTTCATGGCTAGCTCCGGTGATCGGAAAATGGGTGTTCCTTATGTCAGGATACGGAGAGTGTCTATGTAACATTCTCGCGAACGATGAGAGATACGGCAAAATTGCAAAAAGTTATTGTAAAATTGTAATTAACCGATTTCAACAGTTTGGTTTCTTCGTGAAATATTACTGTACGTTGAAAATATAACAACACAGGCTCGACACAATTTTTTTTATTCACGAAATTTACCGTTAATTGTGGAAAACCCCTTCTTAATGACAAACAATTTTCAGATTTTCTTAATATGGTTTCAATACACTATTTGTGACACCAACTAATTTCGTAATACGTAACGATTTATATTGAATAAAATCTATTAAATATGTAAAATATATGATAATTGTCACATAATATAAGTGAAAACATATATGATACATGTGACTTATCCATAGATAAAACAGAACGGTAAACTTGTTTTTTTCGCTTGTCGCAATTGGAATGACATAGGTATTGTAATCGTATGCAGTTTTTGTTCGTGCCTCTGCAATGGAAAAACTGCATCCTTCGAGGGTTCGAGTCCGACATCCTTCATCTCCGACCAAAACCGAATTCTAACCATTATCGCGATTTCCATGCCTTGCTCCGGTTAACGAGGATAGATTAAGAATCCATCGACTTCCATTAAACAGCTGAGTTCGAATCTCAGCATCGCGAAATAGAATCACGCGCAGACCGCCATTAAAATAGTAAGAATTCCCGCGTCAGCACACCGACGTCCAATAACCTGCTGCCGCTAAAGCGCGCTATCGCGACACTCGAACCGCCGCGATGCGGAAGTATATTAATCTAGAGAAATTAGGTCAAGGCACCTCGGGTGCCCTTCCAGCTGATTGTAGTTCAGACCTCACGTACGAATAAACGCAAATCTTAATACAATAGCCACATAGCCATTCGCCCGCACCCCTTTTCTATTCCTCACTCCCCTAGATCCCACCAGAGGACTTGAACTAGCCGCTCGGAACAATCTCCTCACAAACTTAAAATTCGCGTTACGCGCAAGATACGGGTAATTGTTACGTCCCGCGTAATGCCTCCTGCACGTGCATAATAAATAAATAAACAAATAAATATATACATATATGTGTTTTCATTATTCTCCGCGTAAACGCATGGCCCCAGTTCCATTTAGTTCAATATGCAGATTCGTAAGAGTAAACTGACGGTGCAGCACNTTTGTCTCGTAGATGGCCAAACGCGCGGGAAAAAGGGTTGCTCTCCGGGGACTATTCGCGAGGCTAGAAAATCGG